TTGATAATGATTTTAATTTTACATGATTTTTTAAATATCTTGCTATTGAAATATTTTCAAATTCTTTCTTTAAAAACTCTATATAATAGGAACTTGACTTAGAATGATGTTTATAATTTATACCATGCTACCACATGAATTGAAGTATATGACTTCTATAATGATACTTAATTTCAACAATTATGTAAAATTAAAATCACAATTTCTCTATACCAAGACATTTCACTCTCAACTTTTTTCAAATATTTGTATCAAGTAGCAATTGCAATGCTTTGTTTTCTAATTTTCTAACTAAGTTATATCTCAGTGGCATACCTAATAGTAAAAATTTTGCAAAGGATTCAACCTCCAACATTCTTAAAAGAGCTCTATTAAGTTATTGCAATTTGAAGGTTACTTTGATCTTTGTTCCACACAAAAGTTCCAACCACTTAAAATTATAGAATGTATTAAAAAAAAAAAAAAAAAAAAAAAACATAGATCTTTTGGAGAAGTTTATAAATTTGAGACTTGTATTTGTTGTAAGATTCAAAGCATCCAATTTTAGATTCATAACATCTTTTACTTTATAACATGTTACAACATTAAAAATAGGAAATGGATGTCTTCAAATTTATTGGACTAATACTTTAAAGCATATCACTTGCTATATTACAATAATATTTTAAATCTAAAATTAATTCTCTAAACATCTATTTGTTATTCTATTGGAAGATAACCTCGGGACTTTAAGGCTCTCTGCAAGCTTCGTCACTACGTGTCGCAGAAACCTCTATGTTCAATCGACTGGCGCCGCCGTTGTGGACCTTCGGATCGTAGATGCCACTTAGATGCAATCGTAACCGTCGATCAAATTTCTTGGAACGGAGGGAGCGAATGTAAAACAAGGGGCGGGCAGGTTGGAAACACAGCTCATTTCTCGTTGGGCTAGCACTGATCCACATTGACATTGGTGCTGAAGTTTGTTCAGGGGCCGTCTCTCAATCTCACTTTTCAACCATCATTCTTCCATCGAACACTTTTTATTTGTTGTCATATACAACAACACTCAATGCAGATGATACTTTTGTTCTTAGGAAGAATTCTTGCAACTCATAAATATTTAAGGTAGTTTTAGATTTTTTTTAATAAATATATTATAAAACATGTATTGCATTAAACTAAATTAAAATTTGTTTAAAATGTTTTTGAAAATTTTACACTGCATTAACATACAATATAGTGATCCAATTTTTTTAATAAATCCAAAAAAAAAAAAAAAAATCTCAAACATGATTAATTACATAATTTTTAAAACTATATAACATACGTCATTTCAATAAAAAAAAATTAATTAAAATTAATGAGTTTTAGTTTTATAACAAAAAATATTTCAACTTCAAAATAATAGTCTTAAAACTATAATAATGCATAAAAAAATATTAGTTTGAGTTATATATATATATATATATATATAATAATTATAGATCTAAAGTATTTATATAAAATTAAGATGATATGTTAGATAATTAACCAATTTAATAGTTACTTAATCTTGTAAATTTTTATTTAATCTTATCATGACTATTTTCAAATTTTTTTAGGAGTATAAGCTCTAATTAAAATAGCATAAAAAATAGTTGCAATAGAAGTATTGCTGAAAAAATATAAAATCAAATTCGTATTAAACATTATCAATTAGAAAAGGATCTAAGTTACAAACTTTTTTTGTAGCATTACAAGACACTTGTATACCATTAAAGATAATAAACTAAAATAATGATATATACATATATATCATTATAACCTCAAAATAAAAAAATAATCTTTTATGTTTGCATATATATATATATATCAAAGAAGTTTCTAAGTTATATTGATAGAATTTAATTTCAAGTAATATATATGTATATATATATATATATATATATATATATAGATAGATAGATAGATAGATAGATAGATAGATAGATAGATAGATATAAGGTGATAAAATATATATTTTTAATAAGAGTAATTTTTTATTTATTTTTTATTATAAAATTAAAATTAAAAATATTACATATATATATATATATATATATATATATATGCACACATAGAAAAAATAGCTTAAATTTTTTTTCTTTTATACACATATTATATTTAATTGAAGTACTAAAATACATTTATAGTGATAAAATAAATATAAAAAGCATAGTACAAAAAATATATTGAAACATCATTAATTTAGATACATGTTGATTAGATTAATATTACTAAAAGAAACTATAGTTTAAATAAATAAATAATTAAAATAAATAAGAATAATATAAAAACCTTTATAATATCTTTTGTGTTATTAGTTTTATATCTTTTAAAAACATTTGCAATTTCTTCTATTCATATACAATTGTATTAGAAAAGATAACATATTTGAAGTTTTGATGCATATTTAACTTAGTTTTTAATTATATTATGGTAATTATTTTTTAATTTTTATTTTATTATAAAATTAGAATTAAAAAGATCATATTTATTAATATAATAATATATCTATCTACCTATGTATATATATATATATATATATATATATATATATTCATATTCTAATGTATATAATGAGAAAGGTCATCCAATACCATGCCCAACTAAGCCACACAAAAGTAAAAGGAAAGAATGGGATTTGTGATGCTACTCCTAAACAAACTTTAGCACTCAATGTAGATTAGCACAAGCCCAATAAAGAATGCATTACTAAATTTCTAATCTATTTGTAGTCGAACATGCTTGCCTATCCACCTCTAATTCCCCTACGTTCTCTTCTTTTGTTCCCAGAAATCTGATCTATGGTTAAGTTTGCATCTGAGTAGTAGCTATAATCTGATGGCCCAAAATGGCAGAGCTAGTTGATTGAATTCAGGTTTTTGCGATACAATTCTATGAGGCTCTGCAAGTCCTATTGGGCTCCATATAACCAGATTAGTGCCTTTAGAAGACCATTTTCTAGAAAGGATGCATACTCTATCTTAATTAAGCTCAAACAGAAGCCAAGTTAATTATTTCTTGGTCTTTTTGATAAATAAGTGTAAGACCTCTTTAATATCATGAATCTTAAAAGAATTATTATTATTACTTTTAATGATCACTTAAATCTTAGACTTCTTTGTAATTTTATTCAAAAATTAATGTAATATTATATATATATATATATATATATATATATAAACTTCTTTAATGTAAATAGAATTTAAAAAATACATTCTTATGATTATATTTATTTAACTTCTTTGTTTTTATATTGAATTTTTAAAAATATATATTTTTACCAACTTAAAATGATAGTGTGCTTTAAAAGCATAATAAATCTCTTTAATCTTTAAAATAAAAAGTGGATTAAGTTACCAATACTATATTCTTTGCTTTTAAATAAAACTTGTTATCTTGATGTAGGTTAAATCAACTATTTTGATTTTTTGTCTTATAGTAAATACATGTCTATTTTTTTAACATATGCTTGTTTTTACATATAAGTAAAGAATTTTTTTTATACATCTTAATTAGGAGATGTTTAAAATTTATTAGATTTCATTAATAAAACTAAAAATGATTGCCCTTGACATTGAAGATTGCTTCTACCATGCAAACGTTTTCCAAGTATTTTTTATAAAACTCTTGCTTTGCTCTCCTTTGGCAAGCTAGTCAAGACATCTATATTTCAACATGCTAAATTTCTTAGTACAATAGACACTATTTTTTCAAAAGATTGAAATGGTAGTTAGAAGTGAAGTATGATTAAAAATATATTTTCAATAATGACTATTTGAAAATAAGCTAAGAGGGAATTGCCAAATGCTAACCTTGCAACCATTGCCATAACTCATTTGATCTAAATTCTTCATAGTGGACTTTTTACAAAAGAAATATCAAATAAGTGGATGCATATAAATACTTTAGTGTATAATAGTAGTCATTCCACATCGAATCATACATTTTTGTTTAGTATAAAAATATGACTAAGTTTATTTAATTATATTTGCTAAATTATTATTTTTTGCACATCCAACATATTAACCTATGGTATGGCTTTAATGACAAAAATAATTCTTAGCAACTCATATGTTACTATACACAAACTTAAATGATTTTATTAACAAACATTAACTTATTTTTAAAATTATATGTTATAATTATCAACATGCTAATAGTAAAAAAATAAATGAAAATATAATATATATATTTATATATTGACAAAAAGAATTGCTCAATAAATATATATATATATTGCATAAGTTGTGCTTATTGTAAGAGAGTAAAAACTTAGTTGACATCCATCAAACCATGTATTAATGGTACAATAAATAAAAAATAAAATAAAATATTCATTACATATGTTATTTGATTATTTTCGAATTGTAATAGAATGAACTAAATATGTTTTTGATAATAATGTTTAATAATATTTAATTATACTTTTTATTTTTTAATATAACAAAATTTAAAAGAACTTTATTCTTTGTTTCTAAAAACAAATATAATAATCTACCATTTAACTTAACAAATTTGCTTATTGATTCATGAATTAAATTTGCCACATAACTTGGCATTAGTATATAGCTATTTCAAGTAAGTGTAAACTAAGGGATTGACTTTATTGACAAAAAGAGTTCAATTTAATTGAAAATCCTACTAGAGCTGGTCTTTATTAAGGTTATTTCAAGTAAGTGTAAACTAAGGGATTGACTTTATTAACAAAAAGAGTTCAATTTAATTGAAAATCCTACTAGAGCTGGTTTTTATTAAGGTTATGCACAAGTTCAAGTTTGAAGGGCAAAAGTTGGATAACTCTATTGGCTTGGCATTCTTCATAAATTATGTCTTATTGGTTTATTGTAAATGAGAGAGAGAGAGAGAGAGAGAGAGAGAGAGAGAAAGGAAAAAAAAAAAACAAAAACAAAACAAAACAAAAGAGAGGGCCAAAGACCTACCGCTTTCAAAAGATTGTATCCTCAAAAGATGTATCCAATACATTTGACACCATGTTGTGATATTAATCAAACCGATGATATAAAACCTTCCATTAGGAACCTTTAATCGTAAGCCATCCAGTTGGCCGCGATAGCGGATGCCATCACACTTCCGCCCCTCAATTGTCCATACAACCACTCAAAAACTTGCCTTTCCCTTTCTACATCTTGTGTTGCTCAGATCATTGATTGATCATAGAATGAATTTGGAACAAACTACCCTAACAACGCAACGGACTTTTCAATTGCAACGTTGCCATTACTGAGTGTACTCATCTCACCTAACAAAATTAGTCTTCAAAGTCAAAACGAAGGAACTGCTACAAACCTACTTAGGAGCTCCAGTGCAAACCCTCTTGTGAGTGTACCACGCAGAAGTCCTACCAGAGTAGACTTTGCCACATCCTATTGGGCATACAGCCATTTCATCAGGTTTTTTCTCTTTCTTAGCCTTAGCAGAGCTTCCTTGCTTTACCCGTCCTCCTACTTTGCCAACATCAGTTACAGGCTTCGAAGTAACGATCGGGCTAGGAGCAACCACTGCACGATAAATACTCCAACCATAAGCGAAATTCTGACACCGCGAAGAGAGACAGAGAAAAAGCAAAAGACTTGAGCAACACAAAGACTGTGCTTTACAAAAGCAAAGACATTGCAGCTAACCATGAAATTCCAGCTTCAGTCGCTCTCGCATAACAAAATTTTGGCATCAAATTTATTAGAAGGGGTGATACCTTCGTGAAGGGGCGTTGCGGGAGTAGTGGGTGAAAATCCTCTCATTCTAACCGTCCATTTTTGAGGTTTAGCATCTTTCCTCGACTTTTTCCCCGGAACAGAACTTGGATCCACAACATAAAGCATCTCATCCTGTAATACCCGCTGAACGGCCCTATCGGACAGTTCCTCCATGCGTTTTGCTTTCAACTTCTCACTGGTCTTTGCTGACTTGGACAAGATCTTAATAGGTAATTCGTCCCCAGAGACAAAATCGAAGATATCAGTAGGCACGGGCTGTGACTTGTCTGGGTGTTTCAACATTTTAGGAGTTTCAAAGTTGGCATCTGCATCAGCCAATCAATTGTTCTTCAGAAAGAACCTAGTTATATCCTTCACATACTTGACTATATATTAACAGGAGCTCAACCAAAGAAGAATTAGAGGTTAGAACCGTGCAACGTCTTTACAAACCCACTTCGCCAAATGCCTGTTATTAGGCCTTGAGTTGCCATCTCTACATAAGCCCTCTATTTCTTCCTCTGACGTCATATTCCACAAATAAACAATTTGATGTCCACCAAAACCAAATCAACGACATAAATCATGATAGTTTAGATTCAATGGCACTAAACATGACATCCACTGATAAACTTGTGAGGAAATGGACGTCCATTTCCTTACGAGGCTGAAACTATCCATTCTTAATGTAAAGCACCTCCTCACCTTGCGATTGAAAAACAAAATCTTCTCTATCACTTGCTTCGGTGGACCCAGCAAGTAAAGCAGAATTCAGATGTACATCGTCTTTAACTTCCCCACGCACTGCGTCGTCAGATACCACCTTCTTTTTATTATTACTTGTGTTACCAACCTCTATTTCTCCACCTTTCAACCTGCTTTGTGCTACATCTTCACCTTCACCTACTTCAATTTCATTAACCTCTGCAGCAGAAGAATCATGGAGATCTGTCTTTTCTTCATCTAGCTTCAAGCTTGAGGCTTCCTGCTGTTTCCAAAGCTCTCTATTTGCTTTCTCCAATTTGAAGTAAAGTTCTTCAGTTTCTCTAGCGCTTCGTTCTACAGAATTCTCAGGCAATATATTAAGCTCTTTGCCATCCAACACTTTTGCCAGAAACTTTTTTTTCTTAGACTTCCTCTCTCCAGTCTCTACTTTCTTTCTCTTCTTCGTTCCACTAATTTCAAGCCCAAGCATTCCAGAAGTTCCTTCAACGCCCCCTTCGAAGTACTCTATCTTTACATCTCTTTGCTTACGTTTTCTGTCGGTCTTCTCCGGTGAAATCAAGCTTTCATCATTATCGTCATGAAAGTCCACATCTAATTTGCCAGAAGGCCCAACGGTTGCATCCTTGCCTTCTAGCTTCTTCTCTCTCTCGTCTTCCGAGATATGATCTGTGTTGTTTACAACCATAAATTGCGAACCTTCATAATCTCCCTCTACTCTATTCTTCTGCACGCAGTATCAGACAAAATTTAATTTAAGCATATTCTTGAAAAATACCCGTCAGAAATACGAAACATGTTAATATCGTTAAACATGAGATTTATCTAATAAATGAGCGAACTCTCTCCCTATCCCTCTCTCACTATCACACAGAAGAATGGTTTTTAACTACAAAGATACATAGAAAATGTGATTTTATCAAAAATAAATTGGAAAGTAAGAATTTATTTAAATAATACCTTCTCACTGGATTTCCTTGCAGAAGGTTGTTTTGTGGCGACAGCATTTAAATCATTCAGGAACGTTCTTCTCTGAACTTCAACAGGTGCTAAGAGGCTAGAATTTCCCGCTGACTCTAATCTTCCTTCTGTAGTATACGGGTCATTCAGAAGTGTTCCTTTTGAAATATCGAGAGTTGGCAGAGGGGTGGCATCGTTTTGTTTCAATGGGTCCTTTCGTTTTAAACGTAGATCTTTAGGTCCATTTGATTTGGAGGGATCTCTTCCAGAAGATTGCCCTGCTGTTGCTGCTGATCTCAATGCTCCCTGGGCACTGCCTAAGATCGTTCCAATAGGTACAGGCTTTGGAACCTTGAATAGCGTAGTGCCCAATTTCACTGCTGAAGTTTGAGATGCCTGTGCGATATCTATCGCTTGGTACTTTTCCAAGCCTACAACACTCATTGATTCATTTCTAGCACTGTCCTGTGTGTTTAACGCCAAATCAAGCAGACTATCAGGAGCATTAGCAGGAGATTCTATGCCATGACCGCTCAAATTATCTTGCGATAGAGACTCTATCGGCATGCTCCGCTTCCGTTGACTAAGAGTGATGCCCATAATTTCGTCCAAACCACCTTGGCTCTCAATAAACTGTGCAAACCTTCAGAATCAAAAGATGTTACAGTAAGGATCTATTACGATGACTCAAAGGCAAAGATGTTGGTGTGCCAAAGAACCCTGACATAATACAAAGTCATGTCCACCCATTGATCATGTGGATAATGGAATCAATTAAAAGTCCCAACGAAAATGAAGTTTGGTAAGAGATAGCAAAAGCCTCACTTGGCTTCAATTTCTGCAGCTACTCCAGAAGCCCGACGTTTAAAGTTGTGGCTTACGCCATTGTTTCTGATTCCTGGAACTGCGACAATTGAAGTGGTCACTAAGAAATATAGACTTTGATTTTGAATGCGCTTAGTTTTAAGCACCAGAAGGAATGACTACAACTACTTACAACTTGTTTAACTGACCTTGGCACTAATGACCACAGCCTAATCCTATACAAGGTGAAGATACAATACTGTCAAGCAGACATATAATAGACAAATTCTTAGAAAATTACCCGTCGGAGCAGGTGTCCTCATTATCAGAGGTGTAGACTTTTTAACCCCAGCGGTGGGCGAGTCTCCGCTCTCATCACTGGATTCTTCTGATGTCTCAACTCTTTTGTGGGCAATGCTAGCGTTACCTACTTTTCGCTTCTTCAACTCATCCGTCCCTTCAACTGGATCGGTGTCAGACTCATCCTCACTATCATCTGTTGTACTACCCGATGAGGCCATACGAACCTGCAGCACATGAAGAATGGAATAGGTCATAGTTTAAAGAAATCAGTTTCACATACGTACATGCAAGGTCCTGTAAATAATTAAGGTTACAAGAACGACACAAAGTTGCGGAGACTACGCTGTAAGTGTGAATTAGAAGTGTGAGGGAATTGCAGATCTTCAAAGCGAACAGGGAAAAGTTTTCTCAACAACAGAAGATTCTGCAATACATCTCATTATGCAAACCTTATCTAACTAAACGTGAATTACGTGAAAAGAAGCTTCAGAATGTAGGAGCAACCTGCGCTGGAGCGACTTGAAACGACTGATCTTGAGAAAAGAACTCAACAGAGTCATTCTTCATATTCACTCCTCCGTCTTCCACCTTTTTAGAAGATATATCGGCATGTCTTTCGCGGCTATTCACTCTGCTTGGTGTATGATTCATGTGTCCGCCTGCCGACACCAGGTTTTTATGTCTGTTCTCAATTTCTTGGTCTCTCGTTTCCGTTTCATCAGCGAATCTAGGTTCACTCTCCGCAGATCTCTCGTAGCAAGCACTTCTGAGGTGTGCGACTTTGTCAGGCTTCCTAAATTCTAACTCGTCGACGTGCCTGGGCTCCCTCTCTGCAGAGCTCTCTTCAGTAGTACTCGAAGAATGAGCAACATCTCCACGCGTGGCTATGACCTGTTGACTGACGGCATCGAAGTTGCTGGCTATTCCCCTGACCCGACGAAGCCAGGAACCTGATACCTCTGAGCCTAAATTAATTCCCTCAGATTCTTGCTTAGCGTGCTTCGTGCTCTGAGAACTTTGGCCCGGGCTACCACAAGATTTTGTGTTGACTGTCTCTAATCCTTTTCCCTCCACATCTCCGGAACACTCAAAGCTGTGAGCCTGTGAAGGCGCGCCCCGGCCTGGCCCTGTCCCTGAGAAAGGTCTGTGTTTACCAAAAACCAAGCTAATTACAAAATCATCACGTAAGGCAAATGAATTTTCACAATTCAAATGGTTGGAAGCTAAACCTCACGAGCACAACTGCTAGATTCGAAAGTGAACCAAAGGTGCCGCAATCGTGGGACTAGAATCTACAAGGAAGTTGGTTAATAAGTGAGAATTGCTACTAGTTCTTGATGATGAATCCTCATAACTTAACAGCCATCACAGTAAAAGCGTCCAAAGTGTAATATCAATCCACAAGTGATGAACAAGGGAAGATATAACAAGAAATATAATACTTGAGAAGGAATACAATGTGGTAGCAATGTCCTCGATTTGGACGCAGACCAACAGAGTGATTAAAGGTGCCACATGATCATTAGTCAGGTTTTGCTGACTAACGATCATTAGACAGGTTTTCCAAAAATGCGTGCTTTTAGAAAACGCTACACCAGAGCAAAAACCTATATATATATATATATATGCACCAAAAAAAAAAAAAAAAAAAAAAAAGAAGAAGAAGAAGAAGAAGAAGAAGAAAGAAAGAAAGAAAGAAAGAAGATATAAAACCAAAGACTGGAAGAAAATGGTAGAGTCCAATGGTAGACCCTGCTATTTCTATGGAAGTAACCAACTTCTCCTCAAGACTCAACCCTCCAATGAAAGATTAACAGCACGATTGAAACATGCACGGAGACGCAGAGCTTACTTTGATAAATTGGGAGTCTCCTGGCTTTCTAAAGAGTTGACTTTTGCAACCTGTCTCTGGGCCAAGACCTCTATACCAGCTTGATACGAGGTGCTAGTCTCAACATCGTTGGTATCACCAAACAAATTTACCTTTCGTGAAAGCACCTTATCATCGATGTGTGCCGTTCCAATGGCTATGGGGCCAGTCTGAATCATACCTTCTCCAGATGCCTCTTTCGCCACTTCAGCCTCTCTTCCTGATGTTCTATTTCCCAACATCTCTTCTTTCGAGATATTCAATACAGATGGCCTAGCTAAATCTTCGTATCCCATCTGGCTACTAGCATCGCATGCCACAGCTGCAGTGGCAGTGCTGCCTTTCTTCCTCAATCGACTATTTTTCTTTACCTTTATATTATCAACGACATTCGCTTCCTCGTAATTGTCTACGTGGTGGGACTGGTTAGGACTTGGAGGAGTTGCAGCCAATTGAACTCCAGTAGCTGCAAGCGCCGGGTTTCCATCGCCTGCCACATACAGGCACTTCTCCAGTTCATGTTGTCCATAAGATTCTTTCTGATCAGGATTTAAGCTGGTACTCACTTCGAGGGTGACCTCGTCTTTCCTCCGCTTCTTCTTTTTCTTCTTCGATTGCTCCCCCTTCTTCTTATTCAACTTTGGGCCCACATTTAAGGGCACGCCGGACTCTTCAGGCAACTCACAAGATTTCTCTTTCCTACCAACTTCGAGGTTGTTAATATCACTTCCTTCCACTCCAAAACCATTATCAAGATCGATGCCTACTCTATCTTGCTCCAGCTGCCGCTTTTTCTTTTTCTTCCTTTTGCCCAGTTCTGGAGGTACATCAGATTCTCCGGGTAATGTGTCTGGTTTCTGTTCACCCCCAGCTTCCAGGCCGTCAGTGTAAGAACCTTCCACTACTGAAACAATTCCGACGTTAGTCTCTCGCTGTCTCGACTCTAGCTTCTTCTCCTTCTTCTTTTTCCCCCGAGCTAAAGGTACGCCAGAGTCTTCCAACAAAGCATCTGATTTCTGCTCTACGTCAATTACCAGACCGCGAACACCATTGCCTTCTACTCCTGAACCAGCGACAGTATCATTGTCTTCTATCTTTCTATTCCCCTTCTCATCACTGCTTGTCCTGGTCGTCATCAAGGGTTTAATGTGCGAGTCTGCAGATGCTGATAAGTCCTTCTGATCGTTGAAAACCGCTTCTTCGTCATCAGGCTTAAGCTCAAATGAATTGTCCTCTACTAATGTCTTTCCATCAAGTGCCGGATCGGCGAGCCTTCGCAATTTGGAAGGTCTTTCATTAATTTCCGCCGAAGAATCCCTTTTCCTGACCCCTTTCAAATCAGATGCTAAGGATGTCCCTAAATTGATTTTGTCCGAATCGTCATCGTTACACACAGCTGTATTGGGTCTCTCCGCCGACTTCCCATCATCTCCTCCAACTGCACTCCTTAAAAGGTCAACTGCCAATCCATTAACTCTACTGGGATGTCGATCCAGAGGATCCTGAGAGTCTAAGTGACAAATCTCATCCCCAGTTAAATCTTCTTCCTTCTGCAGCTTTGGGACTATCAACTCGTTCCACGGCTCCTCAGCTACCTGACGACCGGGTTCACCAACCAAAACACGAGAGTCGAGCGGATGTACCAACCCAGAAACATTGATAGGTGCTTGTACCGCCCTATTTTCAAATGGCTGCGGTTCTAGCAACGGAACCTTCTTTGGTGTTAAGCTTGTTTTGAAACTAAGAGATGACTGCTTGAAAAACATTTGACCGCTGCTTGACGCAGGATCATGCTTCTCGACCTCCGCAAACACCTTGCCTTCATACCTATCATACACTTGTCCAATACGAAGAAAATCGGCTAGGTGATACCCATGCCCTCCACCAGGCACCTATGACAGCGGAGGAGCATTTCATCCCACTGTCAGTAAGGCTAAATCCCATAGATACGTCTCCAATATAACGAAACATACAAGTTCACCTCCTTCGCGAAGAGATTGACTACGACAATGAACATGCACATTTTTGTACAACAGTCAAATTGGACTGTTTCATACCGCAAGTTTCCCAATGTCGACATCGCCATTGTCAGGGTAGCAGTGTCTGTGTGTGACTTTTACCAATTCTGTAGATGTACCCAATAACCACAAAAATTAAGACACATCAACTTGGCCCCCAAAGAGTACATCATCAACATTACACACCAAGATTTCGTGTGGAGCAAAACCTTTAACACATCAGCTAGTTGCCTCCAATTGCTTCATACCATTTAAAACGAAGTGTACGCGACAAATCCACAAATTACAACGCAGAACCACCAGAATCGTTACAGTCTCCTACACAGACTGCTCCGCACAAGGAAAACACTTTACCTCGCAGCTCGGCGATAGTTGAGGTGCGGGGAAGAGACACAATGAAATGGGTGTCTACGTCCGTGTCAACGAAAATACGCACCAATTGATCAAAATCAATCGCGTCCTTCACACCTGACTCCATAATTCACTTCGTAATCTACGAGTGGTTTTCCGCCTCATCAGTTATCAGAAGAATCCTTAAACCCTAAATTCTTAACCCGAAAACTTTCATCACACCCAGAGCCTCCACGTACACCGCTGACGATAACACCCTCCTGAAGCACCTCAATGCCTCAGTGACACCGCGAGAAAGTACAATCGAATCTAACCCGACAATAACCTAAGAGAATCGCCAATTCTCAATCCCGCAGGCAGGCAGAGCTCGTGAATACATGCGCACACACACTCTCTCTCTCTCTCTCTCTCTCTCTCTCTCACTCTCTCTACGATGGAAGCATCAATTCCATAAAGACGGTGCCTCTTCAATCGGTTCCGCACCACTCGCCACCGTCACGTAGCGGTGGCCCAGGAAATTAAACAGCAATGGCTCCGCAATCAGGTCGTGTGCAAGTCCACACACAAGACCCAGTGACTGCAAAGCCCTAAATTTGCACCAAGAGGCAGTAATGACAGCGTCAGGGAACACTGGCCCACTTCAGACGCCGCAATTCCGTCTGCACCAACGACCGTCGAAGCGGGAGGTCGACCAAGCATATTCAAACTCTGCCGCCTCCGCAGCCCGATGCCCATTTCAACGTCTGTGACAGTATGGTAAATTTCTTATTCGGCTTAGAATGCAAGATTTTGTTCCCTCACAGAAATTCTGCGGCGACTACGACGATCGTTTCAGCCTTGCATAGCTTCTATGAAAGTTCCCCTCGTTGAGCATGATTCGTTTGAAACATATGAATATCTTCAAACAAAAAACATCGTTCGAAGATGTGCAAAAATTCTCGAAATTGATATTGGTTGCACTCAAGTTGATGTTGGCACGTGATGAAATGACTGTGTGTAGACTAAGTGAAATTTTATGACAATAATTGGCTGTTTAACTGTTATATACTACTGAGGCACTGTTTTTATATTTTTTGGGTATCAAAGAAGGTAAAATAAAAACAAAGTGCTCCTCACGATAATAGAAACTCAGACAGCTACAAAAAAGCATTCGACAAAGTAAGAGTCCCCATGCATCCTAAACTTTCATTAATCTTACTTTTCTGATAAATCGAGAAATAAACAAATGTTCCAGAACACTTCAGATGTGCAAAAAATAGGCGTGCTGTATGAATTCAGAGGCCCATAACATCATGATGAATTCAATGCGAGAATTTGTATCATAAAATCGCATAAAACATCTGTGTGGCATTTTGCATCCAGAAGTTCATATGTCGATGATGGTGATCCATCTTGAAAATTGAATTTCACTTAACAAAGTACACTTCACTGAGACCAGATCATCACACTTTGGAATAATCCCAAGGCATATAATCACGGATCTCATCCTTGGAGAATATATCATCTTAAATACTGAACCACGACATGCAAAGCCTCTATCTGTTATCACCTTGACCAATGCAGTAAGCACAACACTATGTACACGCTGCTAGCGCTCAAGGCCACCTTAAAGGATACACCTGCAGGCCTGTTTCTCCGAGTCATTCTCCAACCTAAACACTCCTGAATTAGCAGAAACCTCATGCTCTCTGAAGTTGGGTTCAATAGCAGTACCTTCACCTACTTGAAAGTCAAAACTCCAGGAAGAATACTGAACAAGTTTGTGAAAGCTCTGACAATCAATGTACAGAGAATGTACTAGCAATGCGACTGGAGTAAATACGAAAAGCAGTTCTAAGAAGATGAACCCGCACAAGATCCTATCATCCTTGCCAAGTCGTACAACGGATGAGTTTCCGGGGACGAAACCTGATACAACCACTTGTGGCACACCTGTAGCACATCTATTGCTCATATGCAGCACATGATAACTCCATCATGCAAGATAACGGTACAGTTTTCGGTCCATACGATCTCTTTCCAAGAATTCCCTCTCAATCAAGGATTCAATCCGCTTCTTGATCACAGCAGGATTAGGCATAAACCGGGCTTGGAGCTGCTTGGTCACTTCGCTAATAATGTTATTGTGGTCCAGAAGACGTCTTGATTTCATGATTCTCACAATAGCGGCTTCAATTTGAGGCTTCCTGTCTTCCTCAACTTTTTGTCGTGTCTCCTGCTTCTCAGGTTCACTCTCCTTCTGAGCCACAACAGTACTGATCTTTACTTTGTAAAACTTGCTGGAGAACTTGTCATTAAATACAAAAGTGTCGTCCTCGCTAATGTCTTTGCTCATTGGTTCCTTCCTCAACACATTCTTTCCCTTCACGCATGCCAGCGATTGCAGACTTCTTTTCAGGTCCGGTGCTGGTATATCAGTCGCTTGCTCGATCTCCCGATACGACAGACGGTCAGCTTGATTGAAAAGACACAGAATGCACATTTGATACGTAGATACATTCAGCTCATGTTTATTTCCGTCCCCGAATGTGGCTTTCAAATCCGCAGTACCCATATTTGTTTGCCATGTCAAACGCCGACCTGTGTGAGTTGACAAATAGTACATCTTAAATTTATCGCACATTGCAAGAATCTCCGTTGGCATGTTACACCGGGCACCTGACTGAGTTGGCCATGAACCCGTGGTCAGCACTTGCACAGTAAGAGTCGGCCCCTCATTCCCTTCTGCACCAGCCCCTGTTGCATTAAATCCCTGCATGGTATCCCTAGATGTCTTCATGTCTGTGAACATCCCCTCCAATTTCGACGTGAACTGATATCCACATTCAGTCTTCAACTTCACAATAAGACTGCGCTCTGCATCATCAGATACCGTCCTGCCAGACAACAGCCTCTTTGCCAAGTGCTGCTTGTAGTACTTTTCAAAGACATCTTTCTCTTGCAGATACCGGAACAACATCATAACCTTGTCCAAAACCAACTCCACGTCCTCTTCGCTTGCACCTTTCAGTCCCTTCCTCAGTTTATCATCTACAAACAAGGAAATGAACTCTGGAGATCGAATGTTCAAGTTGATGAAATATTCGAAAGAGGAATTGAGAGCATTCTGGAACATCTTGTCGTTGTGGAAAGACTGCTGAATAATTCTGTCGTACTTGTCTTTCTCATCAAGTAGGCGTTGAACAAACTCTACTGGATCCTTCAACCTTTCGGGATCCATAACGAGCTGTCTTCCCGTCTCACGTAGGTGAGCTGTCATGAGTTCCCTCATGGTTTGCAAACCCGTGGAAATTCGACGGAACAGATTGTACATCCTACCAAGATCATCATACTTATCGTCGATCAGCATAGAAATCAGACCCGAATTCTCCATTTCCACCAAGAGCCTCATACGGTTCCCAATGACCTCTCTCTCCACCACTTGTGTTATCTTTGGCTCACTTTTGGAATCAAGGTAATGCGCCACTCTTTCAATTTCCTCATTCAGCCGCTTCTCGGCTTTCCGCAGATAATCAGGGCAGTCACTGGTCTCAATGAGCTGCTGAGACTCCAGCCTGTAAAAGTCAGATGCTGCATCCAAAAATGGCCTTTCGAAATCTTCTTGATACACATTGGTTCCTAGCTCGACAAGCATCTTCGTAATGTTCCGCATGAGTCCCCGATTGATGACTTCCCCTGTCCGCTCTCTGCGCACAAGGTCTAAAAGCGTGTTCAACAGCCGATCCCGTATCTGTGGTGACCTCACAATGTGATCACGCCACAAATTCAGACCGAGCTCATGTACAGGAGTCTTGTTAAAATTGTTCACAAATGTCCTGTCCATGTACATCAATATATCCCGGATCATCTGAAGCGATTTATTGTGCTCACGCCATTTCACATCCAACTCTTCCAAAAACAAACCCCCTTGTGCTCCCTCGATTATTTTTGCTATCTCCCGCAAATGCTGCGTCATTGTTTGAACAACTCCTGAATAGAGTTTCTCTCCGTATTTGTGAAGCACCATGTTGTACGCGTTCCTAAACATGGCGATTCACCAAAGCATGATCAACATTTACTAAATTAGTTTAACATAGAATATTTAATAGTAGAACTAGGTCCTAACAGATGATTATCCAATAGTTAATAAATTCAAGAACAAAATACGAAACAGCTGCAATAAAATCCCCCCCTTACAGTTCCGCAGTCCATGAACTCCTAGAGATGGTCAATGGAAGCCATTTGACATCAAGTATTGAAAGTGCACACGCTTTCTATAACCCTTACAGGCTGTTGAAGATATCGGCTAATACAAAGAAAAGCTCTCACCTGTACAGCTCTTCAAAGCTGAGGCCGCTAGCATTGTGATTATAGATCTCATGAATAGCATCCTCCAGTATCTTCCAGGTCTTTTCTGCATATTTAGGGTCCATCTCCACCTTATGCTTGAAGGGCTCTATCTTGAAGTTTTTCTTCTTAGCCGGATTCATCTTGTCCGACTCTGGAAAACAACCAATACCAGACATCTATAAGCACGCTATTTCAAGCTGTTGGCAACACGAGGAGACAACTAGCGAGTAATGTACTGCGACAAGGTTGGTAAAAGATTGTACGGATGACCAATGGAGAATATCATAGCCAGGTGGACTTTTGTGGTAAAGATCTCTAACAAAGAAAAACAAAAAACTTGGATTTTCACCAAAGGAAATGACGCAAACCAAAGTGACCAAGAAGCTAATAGTCCCAAGTCGTACCCTAGCATACCATTATCATTAGATTACGGCGAGGGATTTCATTCGCGGTTTGAAAGTAAATGCAGACTCTAAGATTGAAGCTTTCTCAATTGCATCCCTCGGCCAACAATTCACAGCACCAAGCTGCCAATTCTAACGTATTGCAAGTCCGAATAAAGAAATCTAGCAACAACAGAAATATTCATTCTCCACTTTAAAATCACATCGGCTATACAGCTGAACTCCTGCCGACTCAAAATCATGAGAGCAGGAGAGAGGGAGAAGGGAAAAAAAAAAAATACCTTGTGAAACCGCCTCAAGATGTATGTACTATCCCAACGCTGTAACACCGTCACACCTGCACAAAGACTGAAATCGAAAAGGTTTACGCCCCAAAGAGCACTTCCATGCAAATATAAAGAATGATTCCATGCAATTTACCAGAAAGGTTACTTCTCCTAAACATGCACCAAAAGAAAGAGGGAGGGCCCAAAAAGACAACAATGGGGCCGCGGGCAACACGGGAGGAGAGCGAGCAACGCAGTCCAAGAGCCCAATTATGTCACACCAAATTTGAAATGAGAATCCGGCACATTTCTCACCATACGAAACGACCAAATTCTTCCAACACCCAGTAAAACGAAACCCACCTCACAGCTTGCGACGGTGTGGCACCGCGAAACAATGAGTCCCCGTGCAACCCTCAGGAACAACAACCCGCCTTCGCTCTCCCCATCGTAAGCCTCGCATTGAGGTCATTCACCGGATCATCACGTCGTCACAACCCCACTTGCCCCAGAGCCTCACTCCGCCATCTCCATTCCCCCCAAACGAACTCCACCACCCCAACCCAAGGTCAGCAATGCCAACACCAACACCACACCTCACCTCACTCCACCGCTACAAACCTCGGAAATCCACTCCCTGAGATGACACAAAACGGGAGATGGCAAACGAAACGCAGAGTGTTCTTTCCCGCTATCAGTGCTCGGATTGGGATGGGGATGCTCGCAGTCCGTATAATTTGTGCCCCTCCATCTCTCCCTCCCCCCCACCCTACGTGAAGATGTTGGTCGACGAACAAACTGCGATGCACGCAGGGCAGCGAGCAGAAGAGCGACCGGGACGAGGTGGAAACGTTGAGTTCTAGGGTTTTGGAAACACAGGGATAGATAGATGGATAGATAGATACATAGGAGAAGAAAGATATTATGTAAATAAATGCATAAATAGGGCTAGGTTATTAGATAACTAGGCGTGAAGGCTTGAAAACCAACGCCATTAAGCTTCAATAAAGAAAACACTGTCGCAATACCCACCTCGTCCACCTGTGCTTTGCCACTCCCCCACGTTCTCTTCGTTGCAATTCCATGGCTTTCCTGAGTTGTGTTGTTGGGCTCGTTTGCTATATTAGCTCCCCTGCTTCCCAGTTCAAGGTGAGATGTATTCCTCTTCCTCACTGTTAACACCAAAGTCCCTTTCGGTCTCATTGTGAATTGTGGTGTTATTGGTGAGTGAAGTTTTGCTTGACATGATGTTTATAGACACATGAAGAAAGGTTTGGGGTGTTGAGATTTTTTGGGAGGGAAAAGAAGAGGGGAGAATTTTGTTGAGATTAAGAGTGTAATTTAGTGATTAAAAGCATGTATTTAGTCATGTGGAATTTTTTGTTGGGAAATTGTAAAAAAGGATAATATTAAGATAAAAATGTCATTAAGAAATAATGATTGCTGTTTTTATCTACAAATACTATCCTTTATGATCCTTTAAATTTTCAAATTTTTTTTGATGATGTAATGAATTCCAAATTTAGAATAAAACTAAATTATTACGTTTATTTATTTTATTAGTGATAAAATACATAGCTTTATTATCACATAAATACCAGTGTATTAATTGGGTGTGTACTATCAAGATAATAAATATAAAGATCAACTAAAAGAAGTGGGATTAAAGCATGTTCTATCAATAATTTTCTCACATTTAAAAATGAAATTTTTATTTATGAATACGGACCTAATATCTATTTACACAATAAGTGCAAAAACAGATCTTTATATGAATCCCTGTAGTACTAAACATATTGATGAGATTCCCAAATATAATAATTTTAGTATATTATTGAGAAATATTTTTTTTTTAGAAACCAAAAAAACTGACTATTTTATTGCAAAAAAGACAAAAACAAAAACAATTGAGCAAAAAAGCATATTCTTGTTTAATAAAAAGAAGCAATTTATTAATTTTAATGCTATGTAAAGATTTTGTTAATGTCAAGGAAAACTTTTTATATTAAACACTATTAGATATCATAACGCTCAAATAGGATATAAACTAAAAACAACAATACTCACAACTCATTGTAGATAAATGTTTCAATTAATATCTTTTTACTTTTTAAAAATCTTATAACTGTAGCTTCAATACTTCAAATTGTGCATGAAATCCTTTATTTTCTTTTCTCTCAATATTAATATTATATACAAATTACTTTGGAAAGTCTTGTTACATTGTCTCGTAATTCAAACAAAACAATACTGTATCTCACAAAAATAAATAAATCATATCTTGTATACTGGTTTTCAATCACAATAAAATAATAAAAAATAACTCAATATATGCACATTGAGTGTGCCTTTTGTATCACTTCTCAGCTCTTTATTCCATCACTATATCTTGATGCATGTTATTAAGCATGTATTCAGAAGATTAAGTTTCCATGTTTCTTAAATTTATTTTATATCGATTGTTTCTATCATTACATGTAGATACTAATGTAGCGTGCTCCTGTTTACTGGATGTTGGCCTCATTCAAAGTAATAAACAAAATCATCTCTTTCTTTTACTGTTTTATCAGTGCTTCAAATGACGTTAGAAAATCTAAAAAATCCTACTTTCACTAAGGCACATTTTGTTAAGTATGCTCAGATAGGTATGCATATATATATATATATATAAAACACAAGTGTGTTTAGTGTATATGTGTCATTTTATCTTAACAACATATAAAAAGAAGTCAACTTTTTTAAAAGTAAACTAAAGTGAATTATATATATGAACATGGTAAAATTGATCGACATAAGTAATTATATTTACAACAAGTTAAAAATCCATTAGAATTTTGAGGTGAGATATTATGTTATAGAGAATCAAATGGACTTAGGTACAGATTCAATGATCCCTTTCACATTAACTACTGATAAAATAAAAACTGTATGATCATTGTCATAACCGGATAAAAATGACACCTCTGCAACTTAACAAAAAGATATTTTATAGGGTCGAAAAAGTTAGAGTTTCAAACTATTGGGTACAAATTGTAATTGGGCATAACAGTTTGTATTTGAGGATAATTTTCCCACCATTATCCGATATTCCAACTTAATCACACAATAAAGTGGCCGTCTCTCGACCCCTCGAAAATTACCATTAGACATAGTGTTAACTTCAGTTTTCAACCATGTTAAAATCAACCCATTTTAATTATTCATTTATTGCAATTTTTAGCTTGGTAGACAATTTTTTCACACGTTTGCTCTGATCAACGCTACATTGAATCCACATATGTTCCCACTCTTCGGAGATTAAGTTTTCGTTTGAAATTTAGGATTCGAACTGAAATTTGGCAACCTGGGATTAATCTAAAATGGTTTTCCATGCAGTGATTCGAATACTTTCATCATACGTGGTAGGAAATAAGAAGTGCCAACTAGAAGAATATGAGGTACTCGCTGAACTTGGTAAACTTGCGAAAAGCATACTGATGAGAGGCAGGCACTTGTGGGATAGCAGAAGGCACAAGTGTACCATTTATTGGACAGATGATATACCTCATTGTTTACTCTTCCTGTGAATTCCATCGACCTAACCATATAACATTTCCTGTTTGTAAACCAAGCGGAAGAGCAGATCATTTCAGTGTGTTCACCCAGGAGTCCAAGTGCGGGGATGATGTCCCCCCCTCCGAAGGGGTAGTTCACCTGGTTAATTGGCTACCAGCTATTTAACAAGTCTATGAAGAGACATTACTTGCCCAGAGATCTGTGAAGCAGAAATGAATCCTGGCAGCGGCCGGCGGACGCCATGCACGAGGCTCAGTACAATACTAAAAAGAGTAAGAGCTCCAGCTTGGTGAGCTGTTCCCAAAGAAACCGGCACATACATCAATAACGTTGAGATTCCAAGAGTCACCTGTTGAAAGAAAATCACAATAACACTGTAAGCAACTATTATCGCGGATAGAGTTCACACAAAAATATATCCGAGGAAGAGAAGGCACGGGACTTGTACATGTTAGTTGCTTCGAATAAAGCGGTAGAGAAATAAGAGGGACTATGACGTACTTGAAGGGCAGCCATTCCAAAGGTGGCATTCAACAGAGTACGAACGCGCGGATCCACTGGCAACTTGCGAGTAACCGCCCACATTCCCACAATGCTGAATAACGTTGAGGTGGCCAATATACGATGATCCAGCTGAAGCCCCGGAGAAAGTCCAACCCAATCACTATTAATAAAACAGGTACAACCTGTACCTACAGCACCAACATAGACTTCGGAACAATCCTTTAACATCGAAGCTAATCTATGAAATAAGACCATACGAACCTGAACCGTAGCTGTGTTCTCAAAAAAGTTGCGGAAAAAGGGTTTCATGTCCATTAAGCCTTCGGGTATCCAAGTATCGCCCATCTTCGGAAACGTGTTGTATGCATGTCCCTGCAGCAACATTCAGATACTACGCTAAGATGGATGCGTACGATGCGACAAACAGGCCAAAACACGAACTGAGCAAAGACCAATCACGGACATACGCAGAGATGCGATTGCCGCATCCGACTGACTGAAATTGAACAGCAGAGACAGTGCTCCTGATTAGAAATCAATGATTTAACATGCCAGTGTTTCAGATCCAGTGTAGGGCAGCAGCTAGGATAAGGGATCGCAAAGGAGATCTTACTGCATCATTTCCAGCTACAAAAGCTCCTGAAACAGCGGTAATGCCGACAAGCGCAGCCACAGGAACTGCTAACCGCCTTACCCTCATGGCAGCCCTTGCAGCTTCCCCAGAAGCAGTGGAATGAGGGGTTACCACTGAAAGGGCAGTCCAAAACAGGCCTGAATAAATGGCAAAAGCTGATGTGAGGTGGGCAGCAAGCCTGTAGGGGCTAACTCTAGGCTGTATGTACTCTGTCTCTGGCTCCTGCAAATACAAATATTACTGTTAAAACAGTAGAAGCACATCTGCCACCCTCAATACCGTTCCGAGTTGCAAGAACGATTATGAAAGTCTTTGTTGTAAGCTTGGTACCGAACTTGTTAAAACATTCAGGAACGCAAGTCGTTGATAAACGGCAGACAAGAAACGACAGTCATTGTAGACCGTGCATTAAACGAAGTCTGAGAGGTTGAGGCGAGGTTCTAGAACGTTGTGTATCTTGACTTTGCGTGCTCTTTAGATGCTAAAATCCAAAGATAACATGAATGAACGAATCAATAAATAGAATACCTCAAGCCCACTCTGAACCATCCACCATCCAACAAAGCCTTGAGCAGCTCCCATGGTCATCAAGGTACAAAGTCTCAGCCCTAGGCGCTGTGATATGTAACCTCGGAGAACGAAGTAGGCAAAAGGGCCAGCAAAAACGATGCCCAAAGCCCGACCCCACATTCGATGCGCATATTCCATCCAGAAGATGAATTTGAACTCATTAAGACTCATCCCCTTATTTACCCTGCATCATGACCAACATTTGGCAACATTCACGAGGAGAAGCTGCAGAATGTAAAGATCCAACCCAATTCGCAATTTAAGTCAAGAACGAGAAGTAAGATCCATGACGTAAAAGCTCATGTTGTTGCCGTCATATGATGGCCTTCCTCGCTATCTAAGAACACTCACCTCTTATACTCAGGGGATGATTGATACTTCAAAAATTCCATCTGCCATTGTTCTTCAGTTAGAGGAGGTAAGCTTCCCACAAACTTCCAATCTGTCATCGAGAGTCCAGATCGAGTGAGACGTGTCATTCCTCCTAGTACTACCATGCTAAATACCCATCCAGTGCAACCAAAAAGCCATGTTCCAACTGTTTTTTGATTGGAAATCCCTCCTTTCACAAGAGGGGCCATCTCCTTAATTGATCCAGCCTCTACTGACATAGTTGACATCCGGCAGCTGCGACTGGCAGATTGAGCCTAAAAAACAAGGAGTTCATAGTAAGCGCAGTTCAACTTCTCTGTCAACGAGAAAAGCAATGCGCATTGTTTATTCTAAAAACCCCAAGAAGATTGAACTAACTATGCCCAGGTAAACGTCAACTGAGCAGAAACCATTATAGAAAAGTTCAATAAAACTGACTTTTCAACTGAACACACTGATTGAGCTTTCTTCACATTCCTACTGGCCTAATCTCGATTACTCAATTGATGATAAAAACACAAAACACAGCATAAGCTCGCTCATACCATACTAATCTAGAAGACATCCAGATAATGACAGTATTTAACAAATATGGTGTAGATATAAATTTCCTTTAAAAATGATATTTATTCGAGGACAATGGTGTCGAAAATCCCTCTGGAACGAATGGCTAACTCTACTATTCTGTTTACTTGAAGGTGCAGCTGAAAATGATTGTCCAGTCCAACCAATACTAAGCAATGCAGGACTTCTTGAACTTCGATGGATGTCTAATTAGACCCTCCAACTAATGCATACCTGTTTCCAAAATGCAGTTTTTAAAAGCCGATACCTGCAAATAGCTCCTGGAAGCTGCGACTCCACTATCTGTTCACAGCGGAAGTGGGGTGAGGAGCAGTAAGAAAACATGAAGAACACCAGCATTCTAAAAACAAACGCTTCGGAACAAGCGCCTTAGTGTGACTGGAAAGTAAACCCTACTTGAAATTGTCAAAACTCAACACACTTGGAGAAGAACAAATAGAGAAAGTATTTGGTGATAGCTTAAACCTCTTCTCATTACCCGAACCATGAAGCTGCGATTGGAAACACAGACAAAATCTTTCGCAAAAAGCTACTATACTCTCAAAGTAGATCCAACAACGGTCATACCTTCCGAGAGAGGGGCGATGAGGCGAATGATCGCACACCTGTCCCTCCCACGTCCCTACCCAACAGCCCCTTCCGCCATTGCTGAGCGCACCACGGAAAACCTTCGATAATTTCCAAAATCCCACTCTCTCTTGCATGAAGCTTCGTCTGAAAAGAAACAGGCTGCTGGCGACCTGCCGATGCCAGAGCACGGGCCAGCACCCGAACCCCCTGCATGATAACCCACCTTCAAATTCTACCAAAACCCCTCAAGAGGCGTGAGATTCTCGCCTGTAGTTCGCATCGAAACTTGCGAACGCCTCAATCGATTCAATCCCACCAACATCCAGAATCGAAATGGCGCCCGATCGCGCCACTTCAGCTCCACAAACCTAGAGTCTTCTCAAGAAACCATGGGCGCAGAGGTTTCAGTCTTTCACTACGTGGAGACAGACTGATTCACACCCTAATTACTTGATAATGCCTGAGTTAACCCTAAAAGTTGAATCAACCCCTAAACTTAGGACGTGTGCTACGGTGAGCTGGGACCGTTTGCCTCGTGGACGCACGAGACCCTCTTCCTTACTGCAAAATACACCGACCTCCGATTTTGTATTCTAAATCGAGTAGTGGCATGAAGTGTGAACGCGTCTAACGACGGTTGTCAGGTCCCGCCGTGCAACGTCGCCGCGAACGTAGGTTCGCGTTGGGAAAGGCCAATGCAGTGGGGGTGTGAGGATACGAGAGGGAGCTTTGGAAGCCACGAGCAGCATTGAGAAGCGAAGCCCAAGAGAGATGGAAGCCTTCGTAAATTCCCTGGCGTAGTTTTTGTTCCTGTGAGTGCAGCATCATTCTACCCTGGCGATGCTCCCACCTCGACACCAGCCATGATTTTCGAGAGCCACCGCGTGTTTGTGAAGTCGGGTGTGACGAGTGAGGTCACGGAAGAGATTTTGCAACGCCGTTTCTCCAATTACGGGAACTACACTGATGTGTATGTATCCCGTGTTATGCCCCCGCAGGTGCCCTAAGGGTTTGCACATGTTTCGTTTGACTGCGAAGAAGCCATGCAACGTACGGTAAAAATTTGCTTATTGATCCTTGACCGTAAGCGCTCTTCCATCGATTAAGATGTATTTGAACGCACGAAAGTGACAGATGAAAACGTGAAGTTCTAAAATGAATGAGTAATGGTTCTTTCCAGATTCGAGCAACGTCCAGCGTGATTCATCGGCAAAACAGAGTGCGACTTTTTATTCGAGTCATGCGTGAGTTATAAATTGGTCACAAACGTTGCAGAAGCTAATTGTGAAGATATCTGCAACTGACTTCCTTTTAGCGAGAACCGCGAGGTTGAAACTGTCGTTTACATACCTCAATCATCATAGAACTAATCTATAAGCTGCATCAAAACTCCGCAAGGAGAAAAATGATTCACATCACTTTCACTACTTTGAATCACGTATTCAGGATCGTAATCTAAATATATCAGTTTAAAAGATTTCAAACGTAGTCTCTAAGTGAGCTCCGCACCATCATGCAGCAATATTTGTCGGTGAGCATATGCAAGACAGTTACATAGTATGATTCTGCACTCTTTTCTTGGTCTTCTCGAAGACAAATCAGCCAAGCTCAATCATATCCCATTATTTGACTGTGGGACATCACAAGAATATTGCATTTTTCTCTTCTTGAGCAAATCACCCTTCCCAAAATTTCGTGAACCCAAGATGATTTCGTCTTTGAATTGAATTTCGTGTTGATAAACCTTAGCTTGAAAGAAAATTTGCGTTGCGATGTTGGCAGTTGGAGCTGGAGTCCCACGAAATAGAAGGAACGCATTTTTCTGTGAGCATGACGGAGCCTCGACCATCAGAACGAGGACTATGACACCGCGATCACGACAATCATATGCAGCAGCAGTGGCAGCAGCAAGGGTACTATCAACCATGCGTTCCATGGAGGCTCGGCCTGGGTACGTGTTTTTCAACGCACGCTCCCTCTTCTCTGGCTGCGCCCCAAAGATCTAATCCCCAAGCCGAGGCCCAAATAGATCCTCCCATCATTCCCAAAGCACCGCATTACAACACAGAATCAGAGCCTTACGGATGAATGGCTTGACCCTCTGTGCTCGGAGGTCAAGAAAATGCAGCAATGCAGTGAAATGCTTGTCGTGTCTTTGATGGAGGGATCCCAGATAAATAACAGTAAAATATAAAAATTCACAAAAATCTAATTAGCATCAGGAAGTTCAGAGTGGAGAGATTTTGTAAGATAGGTCATGTGTTAAGGAATGAAACGGGTTTAGTATTTTGATAACAAAAATCACACAGAACCTACTTATCATGTAATCGTTCATTTTATCAACTTTATCAACAATGTTACAATATTATATATATATATATATATATATAGACTAAAAAAAACTATTTAATAAGCTAAATGATTGTCAGAGTTATTTTACTACTAAACCATTTGTTGTTATTAAAGTATTTCACAATACCCAACATTACGTGTAGATTTTTTATTTTCACAACAAACAAAGACATCCACAATGCATGTGGTTTAAGAAAGAGTGACATAAAGCTCACTATGAGAAAATACATAGTCATGAAGGTGCACTCCAAATATCATAATTGCTCTTATGCAATGACAATCAATTGCAATGACAATGTCATTGCAAAAGCCAATTGAATCAAGAAGTAACATTGCATAAGCATGAAAGGATATCTATTTCCTTATAATGTAGTTGTAATTTGCAGTATATTTATTCTCTCAATCATATGAATCTTGCCAATGACCTAAGCAACAATCGGCATGCATCTCAAATGGACAAAGATAATATGTGTACCATTGCAAAATCTTGCTTATCTATTAAGATTATGCAATAGTATTATTAGAACACTCACTTTTAATACCATTCTATGAGGTGGCATATTAGCCAAGATAAGGGTGTTGACAAACTTTACTTCATATATAATAACTTGGTCATCTTCATGTGCAACAATGTTTGTAGGCAAAAACATGTATTATTTCAAAGCAATGCAATTGGCAATGATTATATTAATATGATTAACATCAACATTTGTAGTTATAAAAATATTATAATTATCTATATAATTGATCATATGAAAATATGCAATTAAGTCTAAAAAAACATGATCTATCAAAGTTTTTAGATTTTTGCATTGTATGATTGTAAGACAAAAACCAACTTTTGTATCTTTTTTTTTTTTTTTTTTTTTTTTTTTGTTATAATAAATTGCAAGCTCAATACTATTATTAATGCCCAAGATATACCTTGTTAATAATTAAGAAGCAAGATTTAGATTAAATTATATATTTTTACTTAATTTAAGAAAAAAATTAATTGCCAAAATCTTAATTGATTCAAAGAGGCTACAACAATAGAAGCCCACATGACTCAAGGTATAATTGAATGGTATTAACCAAAATCTCCACCAAATAAAACTATCTTATTGCCAAAGACTATGTTGGAGATTTGCATAATATCCTATAAACTTCAATCCACAACTTTGACATAATGGTAATATTGTGCATGTGATTTGTCCAAAATAACGAGTTTTTATTTGTAAATAACATTCATGATATCACTTGTATGTGTGAAATTACACTTTAATTTGCAATTAATGTCAATGAGAATTTTGAAGATAAAATGTGATATTTGTCTATCATTTAATAGAAGGGCCACAATGCTTCAAGATGCAAATATAATTACAACTTCACCATTCACACAAAGAAAGGCAAAGAGTACATTGTACAAAAATATTTTTTTCAAACCACTAAGACCATAAAGAAAGAAAATTTGCATCTTCAACAAAATTTGTTATGGCGATAAATGCTTATATTTCTTTAGTATTAAAACTTGACACATCTCTATTGAGCAATGCTTGCATATGTTTGCAATTATAAAATTACTTTGCTTGTAAATGTGGATTTCAATGGCTATCTATTACAATTTTTGGTATAAGCATGCTTAAGAAATTACACAAATTTTATCAAGTAAGAGCAATTTTTTGTTCAATAAAAAGAAATATATCATTCATAGCAACTTTAACTATGCCACCTTCTATAAATTGATGGTGTTATGTATTATGCAAAATTTTATAAGCATATTGCTCTTATAATACCTCAAGATGTAAAGGTTACAAAATATATATTTATTACAAAAATTATTCATAAGTTGGAAGGATGTTGTGCAATATATGCTTCATATAAATATGTATTTTATTTTGCATCATCTTATAATAGTTTTAAAATAATACATGCATTGTAAAAATTTGAGTAAATAATTTTATTACTACTACAAAAATATTCAAAATATGTTAAACTTAATACAATAGTAAGTAACAAGCAAATAAAAAAGTATTTATTAGATATAATTGATACAAAATACATGCACTCTACAACATAAGTTTTATATTGGTAAACAATCCATGTTTTTTTTTGTGACTTTCTACACATGGTTTTGAGAGAAATTTATATAAAGCATATCACAAAAGATGTCATTTACTACATTGAACTAAAAAAACTCTAGTAAGTATTGTGCATTGCAATGTACTATATACAATAACTAAAGCAAATTTTTTATTGCCATTAAATAGAACATTGTACTAGTTTGGAAAAAGCACGGCTAAGTGTATTGTTGGTGGCCCTTTGTAATACATTTTGTGCAATAATAGAGTATCGCTATTTTAAATTGAATTCAAATATTTTGCATTAAGGTATTGCTTATTTCATTTATTGATCCTACAACTTCTACAGCAACTTGGTTTAGGCCTTTGTACATATCTTTGAATAAATAATTGACTTTTTTTATGCCAACAAAAACTTTGACATTGATATACACATTAAATGTTTTGCACAAATATACATTGTAAAAAATAATCTAATAATTGTGATAAAAAAAGTCATCTAAATTGTGCTAAATTTTGCATTCATTATCAAGATATTAGCATGCATCATATCCATCTTAATCTTGTGGTATATACTTGTAAAATGCCCTTAAATATTTCTTGGTATGAATGCCATTTCAAATGTAAAGGATAGTTGGATTCTCAATTCTACATGGGCCATACAAGAAACAAATGGTTATTGTATTGTATAGCTTAACATTATCTTATATACACAATTTGACATAAACTAACAAATCTATTATTTTTGTTGTAATAATCTTTTGATCTCTATTAAAGACTAAAAAAAGTTTAATATGTAATAATTCTTACTTTTGATATTTTCTTAACTAAACAAACTTGATCACATCATTAAACTATTCATTTCTTCTTAATCTTTTAAGAAATAAACATGTCTTTGTCCTAAAAAAGCATGCATCCAAATTAGTCTATCAGCTATAGTTTGACCTTTCAGAAATTTAATTCTTATCTTGGCTCATTTTAGATAACATGAAAAAATAATAAAAACAACAAAATTTTCTTTTCAGCAAAAATTTGCTATAAAATCTTTACATGATTTTTATATAAAGCAATTTGATTCCAAAATGATTGTATAAAAGACAATATGATGCTCAATTTAGGTAACACTCAAACCAACAACAATAGGAATAATATTTACTAATCTATTATATTATTTAATTCTTATAATTTGTTGGTTTAAAAGCACAAAACTCAGTTTATTTAATTTAATTTTTGCCACTACATTGACAATGTATTGTTCAAATAAACAACCTCTTTATTGAACAATTATTTGTGTATGCATAATATGCAATTGATATGCATAAAATGTACACATTAACACTTATTGGTTTCAAACAATTGGGTAGATGGTATTAATTTATCCATTGTTATCTTTTGAAAAGAATAAAGGATATTAGAGTGGATTTT